TATTTTGTTAGAATTTCAATTTTATCCAAAATCTGTTAATAGTTTCGTATAGAAAAAGTATCCAAAATATTATACAGACAAATTTTCTTATAGTAAATTATATCAACTAAACAACTGAACGATTAAATAACTTAGCAACTAAACAACTAAACAACTAATCGATTAATTTGAGCACGTGATCTCATAATCAATTAGTTGCAACTATAGTTGGCAACTAATCGATTGGCAAAATTTTACCAACTCGGAACACTATACGTACGTCATACGTGTTATTATCGGACATTGCATGATCGTGCATTGACTATGTGCATTCATTATAGTAAATAGTAAATAAAATACATTAGAAAAACCAAATAACGAATTTTTTTTTTTTATAATAAAAAAAAAGAAATGGTACAACCATTTCAAATATATATTTTTTTTTCTTTTTTTTTTTTTTTTAATAAAAATTTGCAATAAGGGCTATAATACACGTGTATAAATGTGTAAAAATGAGATTTTTTTTAAAAAGTTCTAATTTACAAATATATATATATATAAAAAAAGACAACAAATATTGGTGAGGAAAAAAAAAAAAAAAAGGATGTTGTATCTATAATTCAGTAATTGTAATTGTAATTGTAATTGTAAAATGTTCATTATAATCGAATAATAATAATAATAATAATAAAAATAAATCGAATTTTTTGAATTGAATCAATCAATAAAAGTAAAAACATAAGAAATTTATATACTTTCCCTATAACTATCAAGTCTTTTAGGAGTTTCCTTATGACTATCAAGTCTTTCAGGAGTTTCCTTATAACTATCAAGTCTTTGAGGTCTAGGAATAGCAGGAGTAGGTTTTTTCAACAACCATTCCTTTAAACGTTGATTTCCACCTACATTATTATTAATATTATTATTTCTACCATCAATATTTAAACTAGTAGTAGAAGAAGAAGTAGTACTAGTCATAGGGATAGATGGAGTAGTAGGTAAAGAAGTAGACGTAGAACCATCAAAAATAGAATTATTAGGACCAGTAACATCAGATAAATTAGATGATACATGATTAAAGTTTGATTTTCTAGAGTTCATCTCATCACCACTATAACTTCTATTATGAAGGAAAGAAGGACGAATCGAAGGAATACTATAACTATAACTATAACTATGATGAAATTGACGATGATTATTGTTTTTAATTCCAATAGAATGATCAATATTAAAATTATTACTATTATCATTAAAATTAATATTATTATTAAAATTATTATTAGTAAAATTAGAATTATCATTATTATAAAGAGTTATAGGAGAAGTTAAGGTTATAGAATCGGAAGAAGTATTTGAAGTATGAGTTTTGACAGAAAAATGTTTACTACGTCTTCTATCAAAAATTGTGGATGATGGAGATAAAGGAGATAAAGGATTTTCCGAAAGGACCATTTCTTGATGAACAATTTCTTTAGGAATTTGAATAGAATCAGTTAAACCACGTAAAGAAAGTGGAGAAGTAGATGGAGAACGTCTTTGTTTTTGTTGTTTAGATAATGAAGAATCAGATTGACGACGAAAGTTTTGAGGAATTTTTTTTAAAGAATCATTTGTAGTTGTAATATTTGTATTAATAAATGGAATTGAACTACTACTACCAATAACTGAATTATTGACAGTATCATTGTCATTAAAATTTGAAGGATAAGGACTTGTGAAAAATTGATCACCATGTTTAACGATGGTAGAACCTCCAAATGAACTATGATGGCGATGATGATGTTTTGGTTTTATGAAATTGAAATATATTGGGTCATCATCTTTTAACTTTTCACGGACTTCACTTATTATATCATTATCAGTTTCTTCTTGCTTTCGATCATTAGATTGACTATATTTTCCAGAATTGTCATGATCAGCATCTTTTATGATTGATCTTGTTGATGAGAGTGGAGCTGATAAACATGGTGTTTTTAATAAACTATAAATAAAAATTAGAATATAAAAATTAGAATATAAAAATTATAGTATAAAAATTATAGTATAAAAATTATAGTATAAAAATTATAGTATAAAAATTATAGTATAAAGAATTATATAGAATTATAAAAAATTATAGAAATAATAAAGGTGAATAACGTACTTGACAAGCATGATCCACTGAGTGACATTTATAATGATAGGAATGACAAAGTCCCATATACACAGATATAAAATGTTAATGTTAAAATTAAAGATGGTATTCGTTCGATGAAATAATCCATAGAGCAAAAATGCAGGTAGACAAATTAATGCAGTGACAGTTTGCCCAATTACAGGAATAGATAACTATAAACGAGTTGATTAATGTAAATAAAATATATCACGAGAAATTAACGAATTATAGAATTAATTGTTATTTGGAGAAAAATATTGTCAAAGAATATTATCAAAGATATCATTATCAAAGGTATTATCAAAGATATCATTATCACAAAGATATTATTATCAAAGATGAAAATAAAGAGATATATACATACATTTTTACAACCACGTTTAAGTTGATCAAATTTAGTTTGAAGTTCAGCACTTCTAATAGCGTGAGCACGGTTCAAATCCGACATATTATCCCAAGCAACACCAACAAATTTAACCCAAAGGTATAACATAATAATCATGTAAATGGAACCCCATACAGGCCAAACAAGATTTTGAGAGGTAAAGAATTTATTTGCAGTTTCATAATCTTCAATATCCGCGTAGTAACCAGTCAACGCGGCTAATGTTATAAACAAAGCGAGTGATAATAAAGTTATTATTATACATGCAATGTCTATTAAAATTCTGTGACGTGATCCTGGCACATCAGAGAATGATAGGGATATAGGTGAACGAGTTAATTGATTCTGATTTGCTCTTATTTCTAATGATGACGTTGACATTGCTTTTATATAAGGATGAATTAATATAATATACGTATGAGATTATAAATGATATATGCAATAAATGTAATAAATGTAATAAATGTGATAAAATGCATGATTACCTATACTTAAGGGATAAAGTATCGCGAATGCAGCAGTAAGAGATTTCGGTAAAGCCTGACCGACTAAAATAAAACCGATAAAAAGAATAAAATATATATATATATTTTAATAAAATAGAAAGTATTTAAACAAATAATAGAAAAATTATTAAAATATTCAAAAAATATTTAAAAATTATTAAAAAATATTTAAAATTATATATTTAAAAAATATTCAAAAAATTTATTCAAAAAATATTTAAAAAATTATTTAAAAATTATTAGAAAAATTATTAAAAAAAATATTAGAAAAATTATTAGAAAAAATATTAGAAAAATTATTAGAAAAAATATTAGAAAAATTATTAAAAAAAATATTAGAAAAATTATTAAAAACATTAAATAAAATTTCGGTAAACGTAACGTACTTTCAGCCCAGAACAAGCTAGGGTACAACTCCTGTAATAACAAAACTGAATGTAATACTTGAACTATAAAAATTCACGTTTAATAGATCGAAAATATGAGTGATCGTATATTCACAAATCTTTGAGTGAGGAAAAAAAAAACTTACAAGGACAATATATTAAAGACATGCTATAATAAACATGTTGGGGACGAGGTCTCAAGAAGCCACGATCTCGTCTCTGAGGCAAAAAGAACGGTTGATCCTTGATCGAGATCAGATTATACAAGCATATTATGGCCGTTATACTCAGCAAGGTACAATAAGGTATTAAGATCCAATTTACTGTGACAAGAATATTTTGTTCTGGACAACCATAAATATTGATTCGAAAATCACACACACAGGGTTGGTCTTTATTTTTACATACTACGGTATATTGATTTGACAGTTGAACCATCACAAATCTGTAAAAATATATGAATGTCAATTATAGAGAATGGTAGATATGAATGAACTACGGATGAATTATGAATGAAGTTGAATGAATTGTATGAATGAAATATAATGAAATATAATGAATTATGAATTATGAAAGGAAAAAAATTATAGATTATGCAAGAAAGAGAGAAATACGGTAGGAGAGTTATTGAGAATGAAATGGAGGAACCAGAAATGGAAATTGATTACAACGCATTCACGATTAGTTTCTAATCGGTTACAACAAATTCATCTTCCTCATAAAAAAAAAAAAGAAAATTCACCTTTTAGAGAGAGTGAATTTAGATTTTGCATTGACGTCCCAAAAAAAAAAAAAAAAAAAAAAGGACTAAAAAAGAATTTGGAGACGAGAAACCATGATGAAAAAAAAATTACGGTATATCGATATTGTATTAAAAGTAGATTCACAGTAAATACATCTCATTTTAGAAATCATAAGATGATCACCAAATAATTTGTGTATTCTTTGTTTGAAATTTTCCTTTCATAAGCACTAAATACCTTGAATTTATGTTGAGTATTAAACATGGACTCTAATCATTCATGCATGTACACAGTCGGTTGTTGAGAAATAGAAAATTGGATGTCTGTTAAACTTTAGTGCATTGCCAAACTGCATGTTGCATAACGCATGGTAAACCAATCAATCAGCACTAGACCACAACTGTCAAACCATGTATTCACCATTTTGGTTTACTATCAGATATATATTAAGTTAACTCGTTTCACTATTCTTATGACCATTGTCTCTGATTGATGTTTGATTAGGAATAGTAATTGGGTTTAGTGTAATTAATAGTGAAAAATAGTGTAATTAATAGCGAAAAATAGTGTAATTCATAGTGTAATTCATAGTGTAATTCATAGTGTAATAATAATGTAATAATTAGGAAATTGTAATTACAAAAAAATAAAATAAGATCATATTCCAGGTTCGCTTGATATTATCAATACGTGTAACAATTAATTTATAAAGATAATATTTATATACTTTATTTGATTTTCTGTAATATATAATTTCCAAACAAACAAATTAACTCGTTAAATCATTTAACCATACAAGATTAAAAGGAGTGCCGATTACTGTGCAAAAAAAAATTAAGCGAGGGATATATGTAATTACGAGTATATATATATATATATATATATCAGATATATATATATATATATATATATCTGATATGTATATGAGTAATAATTACGAATAATAATTAAGATTACGTGATTATGATTATGATTATATGAGCGGGAATCATGAATAATAGCGAATCATAATTACGAATAATAATAGTTACGAATGATAGTTGCGAATGGTAATCATGAATGATAGTTTCGAATTCCGTAGATATAAATATACCAGGGATATAGTCTAAATCAGACGCACGAATTACATCGGCAGGATTTATGTCGGATTACACAAAATGCAACAAATAAATGCACATAGAAAGTTTCTATGAATTTAAATTGTCGAACCTTAATTGCTTACGTATGTACGGTTTTTTTTTCAACAGGGTAAATTTAAAGAAAATCATTAAACGTATTTACTTTGAAATATTTTTAAAATAAGTATTTAAATGACATTCCGAAAATACGATGCGAGTGATGAGAGTGATGAGAGTGATGCGAATTATATGAGTAAAAAGACGATGCATAATGATATCTTTTAATCATTCACGTGCAAAAAGAACCGAATTTATAAGTTCGAATTTTTTATCCGAGAATTGTCCAACCTTCTAATTTCACGGATTTTGTGTAACATAATTTCTAAGCATACGATCAAACTTATTCACGTGTGAACTTCAAAACTTAATACGTACAGTACGTACGTACCGACCGGTACGAAATTCCAATTCAAAAATTCATTGATTTACAAATTATACTAAATTATATTAAATTATATAAAATTGTATAAAATTATATAACAAAATTTTTAAGATTTTCAGCCCAGGAAGTTTTCATGGATTAATTCATGCTTTAACAAGTACAGGTTTAAATGAAGCATAAAAGAATCTTTCAATATAATTAAGCTTGTTTTTAGTAACACGAATATGAACGCTAACGTAAGCAGTTTACTGTTTAGTTAGAGTAACGTATAACAACAGATTATGAAGATTATGAAAGAGTATTTTCAAATTTCTTCTTTAATGCATTATGTAATTGAATGTTTCTCAAAGTTTACTGATAAAGAAATATATTCCTCGTGCTTTTTAGCCCATGTTTAATAAACATGATAAGTTGATTGTTTCAATCACACGTTTGTAAAATGTTTCAGCCTGTTCACTAAAAAATTGAGAAGCGAGTACGCAAGCACGAATGGCGTAATTCGTACTTACATATATTGGTCTAGATAATTTTAGTTTTTGAGTTAATAGTTGTATGTAAACTTTAAGTTTTCGCACACAACCGACGTACGTACGTATGCATTTACCTCGTTAATCCCGCTCTTTACTCTCGTTACCCTGTAATATACATACGTACGTACCACGAAGCCATGTTGTACGAAACTCTCTCTGGTGTTCATAAATCTTACTTAAAATAGACCCCTATTAATATATATACCACGTGTACACAACGACTCTCTTATTTTTAGAATTATTTTAAAAAACCTTTATTAATACGTACTATTACAGATATTACAGTAAAAGTAACTAAGACAAAGCATTCGAACAACCTTTTTGTGCATAACTAAAAAAATCAAATAGATTGAATTAAATATAACTTAATTGGTATTTCATAAATAACAAAGACTAGTTGCTTATGTAATGAACATTAAATGTCTTTCAGAAAGTATCTCTAGCACTGATACGTATATACATATATCATAATATGATTCGACTCGCTAAATACTGAAATACATCTGTATAGTTATTTCCTGTACGTACGTACGTACGTATGTACGTAAATATAATTCTGAAAGAAATCAAATAATGAAATAATTAAAATAATTAACGTTAATGATAAAGTTTGTAATCTAACGTTAGCAATTTGTACGCCTTTGACAAATTCGTAATCATATATGCAACAACCGGTACCGTACTTGGAATAGAGAAACAATGTCTGAAAATATTTTAATTGTGAGCGCACGTGGCGTTCTGCATGATTAGTCCATGTGACCGTATTTTCTCTTTATACCTTTATTGTCCAGTGCGATTGTCCGAAGCGAAGCAACGGACTTATACTTCTATACGCTTTGATGACCGAAATTGCGATTTTGATGCATTTATTATAGAAATATCAAAGCCGTAATTTCGCCATTTTCCGTCTGTAACCCCTGAAAAATTACATAACCAGATTGTTCAGGGGCTGAGTTATCGTAAAAAATTTTAGTAAAAAATTTTAGTCTCGGACTTACACCGGTTTCCGGTTCCTACAGTAGTTAGTTCCTAGTATGGATGGGCAAAGTAAATTTTTTACTTAATATTAAGTAATATTAAGTAATTCTATTACCGTTACTTATTACGTACACATATGAAACACATAATAACAGTCGAAAAATTGCTGATGAAAATAGAACGATCGTAAAAATTACTTATTATTATCTATCTAGTATGTGATTGTCTAAAATATAGTCCATCAATTGGCTTTGCCGTTTATTCCGTGATATATCTTTATTATTCATCGGCTTATAAATCACTATCGGCAATAAAAAGTTTGATAATCAGGTCTAATTATTTTCTTAATTAATTTTCTCTATTCATTAACGCTAACGATAACACGAATGCTAACGTTAATAATGCTAATAATAGTTGATCTTACAATAAATGAACCCTGATTCTAGTAATTTTTAATATCAATTCGTGATAACCCTTGACTATCGTTGCCTTTTTAATAGTCTTTGTTTTTTTTTATCATAAATATATACCGATTATTAAGATTTTCATCTCTATTGTTATCATTGGAGAAGAATGCTTTTATTTATTATTGTTCCGCTTGCGTACGTACGTATAAAACTGGAATTTCAAGTTTTCAACAAAAGCCTATTCAATTAAGTTCTTGCTTGACAAGTTTTTTTTTTTGTTCTTTGACTTAAATTAATTTCATTAACGTAAAATATTCATTAGTTTTTTTTCGTGATGATCTCAATATTGTGATCGGGAATTAATTGTTAATCTCCTATTATTATTATTTCCTATTATTATATAAAAGGCTGCAGTGGATTATTACTATACCAGTAAAATAATTATATATTATTACAATTTGAATATCACGCTTTTTTGTCTAGTATATGGAATTTTCAATTTATATATAGTTTTGTATTAGTTTTGATTATCTTATCATAACAATACATATGTAATAACGATATAGTTGGTAAATTAATTTATTATTGTTAATCATTATCATTATTAATCATTTATTATGAATCATTTATTATGAATCATAACAGGTTAACAGGTTATTAATTTTTTGCTAGAATCTAGTTTTTAAAAAAAAAAATTAAATAAGCCCCGATTTTGATTTTGATTTTGACTTTGATTTGAAATAAAAAAATTTTTTTTGATTGGGAACTCGATTTGATTTAATTTTTAATAATTAATTAAACCAATTAAGTATTTACCGAATAATCGCAATTTGAATTTAATATTAATTAAACCAATTAAGTATTTACCGAATAATCGCAATTTGAATTTAATATTGATTTAAACATATTATCATCATTATATATATATAAAATTAAATTTTAATCAAGTCAAATTGTAAAACGGATCTTTTACATTATAGGTGACCCCTTAATAAATGAAGCGTTATTTAAACTGTGAAAGGTTCTGAAAATCTTTTTAATAATATTATTTAATTATTAGGGATGTTAACAGCCCGGTCTGGTTCAGTCTGATCTGATCTATTCCTGACTGGTCCAGTCTTAAGATCGTCTTAAGATTAACTGTAGTTTATTAGTCTAAGACCAGACCACATAATATCCCCTAATTTAACTAGTAATGATAGTCGATTTGCTAATAGCAGATAAAATCAACTTAGTCGACTTTATCGATTGTTTTTTAAAAAGAAATCCTTGATTAAGTATATAATATGGTATCGAAAGTTTGACAATCAATAATTTTATAATAAAATTGATAGAAAAATTAGGGTTGTATATTGTTTTATTTACCAAAAGTAATTATTTTACATAGTTAAAATAATTTTTGATTCCTGATTTAGTTAATAAATTTGGATTTATTATAAATTCTAATTGTAATTCTATCTAATATAATTCATATTCTTTAAACTATTAAATTAAATGTGCAAATTTGCATATTAAATTTTTTTTAAAAAAATTAAATGAATTCTAAAAAAAGTTTTTAATAAAATGTTTAATAATTCAAATTTTATAATAAATTTTAGAATTAAAATATAAAAGATTTTATATAATTTAAATAAAAATACAAACTTATATAATATTATAGTTAAAAAATATGTTTTTATTTATTTATATTTTAAACTATTTTTTATTTTTTAATATTAATTTTAAAAATTAATTATATAAAATTAATTTAATATGCTTGGCCAAACATAAATGCAATATAATGAAAACATTAAGCAATTGCACAATTGAACACAAAGACCTAGAAAATTGCAAATCATTAAGCCAAAAAATAATGACTAAGCAAATTAGTAGCATTTTTTTAAGACTTAACAGACAAGATAGTCTAGGTAAACTAACAAGACTTAGAATAGCTCAAGGATGCCAAAAAGCAGGCTTAACAAAGAACATCTAACATAATGAAAACAAATCAGAAGTTAAAAAGCTCTGGAAAAATAATTTAACATGTTGAACAATAGCTAAAACAAAAGAAATAGAAATAAATATCAAAGCAACAAAATAGTTATGAAAAGTATATAGATATGGTAAACAAATAAAAGACATGCGAGAAGTAAAAAGTGAATAGCAAGTAGCAGCATAATAAACAAATAGAAATTATTATATATAAATTAGCTAATAGATACAAAAGATAACAGCTTAATCATATGAAGACAGCTTAAGAGTCTTCAAGATCTATCATATAAGAGAAAGAAAGCCAAATAGTTTAGCAAAATAAAAAAAAAGATGCTAAAAATACAAACAAGCAGAGACATACAAGACTAATACAAAATAAACAGCTATAACACATAGGAATTAAAGATTAAGTAGACAAAGATGTCAAAAGACTGAAAAAAAAAAGAATGAATTATACATAGACCAAAACACAATCAGCAATTTAGTAAAATAATTAAGAAAAAGAAAAAAAAAATATTAGCAGAATATTGACTAATGTATAAAAAAGAAAGGAAAACATATACAGAAATAAGTTTGTATAAAGGTTATAAAAACAGATTAGAACAGACAACAGACAAGTGTAAAAAATAAATAAGATAAGACCAAAACATAAAAATAGTTTCAGAGTTACTAATAGAAAATACAAACAACAAGATAAATACAACATTAGAGCAGTTACTAGAAAATAAAAGAATAGAAGAATAGAAAAAAGATAAAATAAAGTTATTAGAATTGAAATTGACAGAAAAATTAAAAATAAAACTAATCAAGAAACAAGAGTTAAATGATATAATTACAGATTAGCTAACAAAAAGCCTAATGTGGAATAAGAGAAGAGACAAAGAAAAATACATTATTTATACAAATAAAGCATTATACAAAAAAAGAAATGAAAACAATGTAAAAAGAATAGATATTAGCTAAGTATAAATAGATGATAAAGAAAACTGACCAGAGAAGAAAACTGCATTTGAACTCAAGGGTTGGCTATCAGCAACAATAACAGAACTAGCAGCAATATGGGTAGCAATTTTAACAATTCCAGAAGAGAAAAGCATAGAAATATATACTGATAGCATTGTAGTATTAAGAAACATTAACAAAGCAATCTATAATATAGAAGATAGAGTATTATAAAGAAAAAAAATCCAATATGAATAATGAACATTATAGGTCTTATCAAAAGCAAGAACATAAAAACAAAAATAGTTAAAGTTAAAAGCTATAGTAAAGATAAGTGAAATGATAGAGCAGACTCTCTTATGAAAAAAGAAGCAACTTGTAGAAATTTATATATACAAAAAAGGTTATATACGATAAAATAGAGTATCATCTGAAGTAGAAAAATAAGAAAATCGATATACTAACAAGACTTCTGTATAAAATAATAGCAAATGCTAGAATTGGAGCCAGTTAGAGAGAAACAAATCCAATAAAAGTACTAGAGCCAGAAACAGAAAATGCATTACATAATTAAAAAGTTTTTGAAAGAAATAAATAGAACAAAAGGAGT